GTTCTGTTTCCAAGTCCCATATTTATTGAGTTTTGTTTGGCAATTAAGCAATGCAACAGGAACAACGAAGGGAAGGACAAGAAAACACACGAATATGCCGAAGGCCTTTACGCTAATGCTTCGTCAGGGCATAAGAACTAGCATTAGCGAAAAGGCCTTCGGCACATTCGTGTGTCTTCTTGTCCTTCCCTTCGTTGTTCCTGCTGCAATCCGTTCATCATGAATTCCACGCAATTAAGCAAGCAAGTTTACAAAAATACACCTCTCACATGTACAAAACATGATACATAGATAGCACTTACCATATACGTACAACTTGCTTTGAACCCTTCCTCTCCTAACACCGTGGAAATCAGCCACCTCGTCCTAGTAAAAGCCAAATGAAAACAAGGCATAAAATTCCTTATATGAACACTCAGGTAAATTACATAGATGAAATATTCAAATTTCTCCCACTCCCACCCCTCTAAACTCACCCACCCTTTACAAGAAAAATACGAAATTCAACAGACAACAACAAAAAACAATAACAACAATAAAAACAAAACGAGAGACCCCACCACACACACACACACTTCACCTGAAACCTAATGATTACAAAAAGTAAACCAAAATACGTCAGACAAATAACATAAATGAAATGTTCAAATATTTCCCACCCCCCTCCTCTAAAAATTACGAAACTCTCAACAAACAACAAAAACAATAACAAAAAAAAAAGACCCCACCCCCAACACATACACACATACACACACACATTCTCTCTCTCTCTCTCTCTCTCTCTCTCTCCCTCTCTCTCTCTCTCTCTTTTTCACCTGAAACTTAATCATTACAACAAGTAAACCCAAGTACGTCTCTGCCTGCCTCCTGCCCCTCAGCCACCGTGAGGATCAGCCACCTGGTGCTGGAGTCTCGGGCCAGAGAATTCTTGTACAAGCAGGACCAGCGCTACAGCTATGAGTGCAAGCGAGCCGTCACCGCGTCTTGGAATTACCACACCAACGTCACCCGGCAAAATAAGGAGGACCTGGTAAGGATTTTGTCTTTTTTTTTTTCTTGACCCTTGTGGTTTTCTTACTCTCTTTCTCTTTTTTACTGTCTTTCTGTCTGTCTGTCTCTCTCTCTCTTTCTCTGTCTGTCTGTCTCTTTCCCTCTCTATGAGTGTTCTCTCTCTCTCTGTTTGTTTGTCTGTCTGTCCGTCTCTCTCTCTCTCTCTCTGTTTCTCTGTCTGTCTCTCTTTATGAATGCTCTCTCTCTCTCTCTCTCTCTTTCTCTCTCTCTCTCTCTGTCTCTGTCTGTCTGTCTCTGTTTCTCTCTCTCTCCCTTTCTCTGTTTCTCTGTCTCTCTCTCTCTGTCTCTCTCTGAATGTTATTATTATATGTGTTATTATCATTACTATTATGTTTTATCATTGTCATCATCATTATTATTACTGTTATCACCATTATTAATACTATTTTCGTCATTATCATTATTATCATTGGTATCATTATCATTATTTTTTGTTGTTATCATTCATATCAGAACCGTTATCGTTGATATTATCATTGTTATTATCCCAATCATTATTTATCATCATTCACAAAGATAAAAAGAATGTATTTTAGAAATTTTCATTCCTTATTTATCATTATTTAAAAATACTTTGCTCTAAAAATTCCATACAGGTTTTACTCGGATATCTAACATGTTTGCAGTATTTACGATTTATCATTGTTTAATTACAAGAATTCTGTTTTCTTATTCTGAAATACTTTATCAATAAAACGGCCACACGAGGACACGCAAAAAAAAAACAAGAAAACACAAAAAAAATCGTTCCGTTCTTGCAGGTGGAAGCACAAGAGCGGTTCTCCGACTGGACGAAGCAGTCTTGGGAGGAGGCGAGAAGGTGGACCTCCCTCCTCCCTTACTTCCGAGACACTGAAGTCACGAGGCAGATCAAGCTCCTGTCTGTACTTGGGGCGCCAGCGTTGCCAAAGGCGGAATTGTTGAAGGTATGGAAGAGAAAGGAAAAGGGAGAGAAGGAAAGGAAGGGAAAGAAGAGGGGAGGGACGGGAGGGAGGAAGGGCGGGAGGGCGTAGGAGAGAGGGTAGGGACGGAGGAGAGTAGGAGAGAGTGAGTGAGGGAGGAAATGTGGGATGGGAGAGAAGGGAGGAAAGAGAGGAACTAAGGAAAGAAAGGGAATGAGACAAGGTGAAAAAAGTCATTAATAAAAGAGCATTCCAATGAAGAGACAGATATCTCTGCATACTACGACAACATCTTCAGTCTCTTTTTTTCTCCGAAGTACACGAGACTCATCTCCGAAATGACTGCGATATACGACGCCACGACCGTCTGCCGCTACCGGAATCCCAACCGCTGTGACCTCGCCATGAACAGAGGTGAATAGGGTTTGTTTATTTGCTAAAAAACAATAATGATAATGAAAATAATGATAATGATAATAATGCTAATAATAATGATGATGTTTATTTGCTAAAGAAACAATAATGAT